TTTAAAAGGGTTAATATCTATTTGCATGCTAGATAAAAAAAAGGCTTCATGTAAACTTTACCTATTAAATTCGGAAATACAAACCTGCCATACTGCATCAGATGCATTACACTGCTTAGTTCTCTAAATCAATGTTTCTCAACCTTGGCAATTTTAAGACCGGTGGACTTCAACTCCCAGAATCCCCCAGCCAGCCTTGCTGGGGAATTCTGGGAGTTGAAGTCCACCGGTCTTAAAATTGCCAAGGTTGAGAAACATTGATTTAGAGAACTAAGCAGTGTAATGCATCTGATGCAGTATGGCAGGTTTGTAGTTCAGAATTTAAGAGCTAAAGTTTACATGAAGCTTATTTTTAATCTAGCATGCAAATAGATATTACCCCTTTTAACATGTGAATGGTGGGTCCAAACTGGTTTCATTGCACAGGAATCCTCCCTCTCTCACTGTATTCATCCCTCTTCCAGTTTCAAATGGCCTTCAGGCTTGTAGGAACCCCCTCCCCACAAAAACAGAGTGATGCGGCTGAAAACAACCACGTGAGCCAATACCTGCCTCTCTCAAAAGAAAAGCTACCGAAACAAAAGTTGGCCAAGGGGCTGCACGAGGCTTTCCAAACAGAAGAGTGAAAAGAGGAAAAATGAGTAGTGGGCTTTACCTTGTAAGATGGCAAAAAGCACAAAATTCCATGTCCCACCGTCTGACAAACCGAAAGCAGGAGCTCGCCCACTTCGTCCTGAAATTCAAAGGTTTCGGTGTGCTGGAAAGTCGCGCATAAGGGCCTGTGTTTCGGGCCGGCTCCGATGGTGCCAATCCAGACCTGTTGGAATATTGATTGGACACTGGTAAGCAAGCTCATTCCAGAATGAAATGTCCAGGACGAAGAAAACTGTAAAGCCAGGATTTAAAGCAGGTGACGCAGCTCATGTGATAAAGTATTGGAAATATTTATTTTCGAATCCAACAGTGAAAAGTAAAGGGAGCCGTTTCTAATACATAGGCAATTTATTTTAGACTCAGCGCACAAGCTGCCTCTTAACACACAGGAGGAGAAAGTGGGCCAGGAAGTGAGGATCAAGAGACAGCTAAAACTCAGTTTGTCACCCATTCTTAGCAATGAAAAAGAGCGAATTTAAGCCAGCTCAAGAGCTAGTCTAGTTTATTTCCAGATTTGGGAAAATCCAGCCAGTGCTATGGTTCCTGGAAGGCTATCCTGGGAACTACAACCTGAATTATTAACATAACACGACAAGCATGTACTGAAATTATGAATTCCACAATGCAGCAGGATTTTTACTTTTCTATTTTTTTTAGCATTTACAACCCAGAGATCTTTAAGTTACCAATTTCAGAATGCAAGAGTGTAGATTGTGTTTTGAAATGGTGTCTCAGTGCTGACTTGCGACAGCAGTTCCATCTGCAGTTGTTAAGCGAATCACATGCGGTCATTAAGCATGAGGTCATGTGACCATGACTTGAGACTTCCTGCCAGCTTCCCCATTGACTTTGCTTGTTGGAAGCCAGCAGTGGAGGTTGCAAATTGTGATCACATGACCGCGGGATGCTGCAATGGCTACAACTTTGAGGACTGTTCATAAGTTTCCTTGTTCAGCACCATTGTAACTTTGAATGGTCACTGAACGAGTGGTTGCTAACCGAGGCCTACCTGTATTTGGCAACTGAAATCAGGCAACATTTCTTAACTGAACATAGCTGGATTTCATATTTGAGAATTTACAAAATATCACATTTGGTGTCTGCAGCAATTTAGCAAATACCAGAAGTCTAAGCTAAATTAATTGGCAAGATTTTGCCCTGAACAAATAAACTACTGTTGGACTATTATTGTATGCCTGACATCAGAGTAATTCCAATCAGGAACGCGAGAAGAATATTTGTGAGCTTGAAAACGGGCATTTGTTTAAAACATTTGATAAATTTCGAACGTTTACAACTGTTTTTACGTCTACTACTTTGAACTGCTTCAAAATATTACATCTCTATCTTCTCCTTTTTACTAACCAAGCAAGCAATCTATTCTGAATCTGGAAGAAATGATACACCCTGCAGAAATACCTTCAAAAAAACCTTAACATTCAAGTCTTCATAACATTCTGAACATCAGAGTGAATCCACCCCTTAATCTAGAGAGCCTACCTGTGAATTTCTGATAACATGGTTTGCTTCAAGCTGAATGGAAAACTTCACCCCAAGCTCAGATGAAAAGGAGTCCATTGGAGAAAGTGTCCCTGAGGTTAAAACGATGGATCTGACCACACTACTTAAATCAGAAAAGGCCTAGAGAGAAGAAATACAGAAAACATTTCAGTGTTTTCTTCGTGGCTTTCATGTATAGATACTTAAGTCTCCAAAACATGGCTATTGTGCTATAAAATAAAAAGAGCACCCTGCGTTTGACTGATTGATAAAGACATACACACAGTGAGAGATATAAAATAAGATGTTTGATGGGCAGCACTGGAAGAAAATGGATAACGCCAAGGTCCCCTGGAAGAAAAGATGAGAAACCATACTTTGGTTTAATGCACCAGCCAGCATTTCTAACTGTATTGATTTTATATTGTTCTTCTCTCTCAATGTAAGTATTTTAATAGATCGGTTTGCTTGTGTCAGGCTTGAACGTTATGCAAGATTGGGCTCTGATGGGCTTCATCTGGTTCTTAGATGGGACAGTACTACAGAGGACCAGAGCTGGCACCTGTGGCATCTTTATGGGCACAGAAACTAAGCCAGATCAAGATCCCACAAGGGATCCCAGGGTTGTAGGCTAGATTGAAAAATTGAAAAATATTCTGTAAGAGGCAGCAGCAAACCACTTCCATAGTAATGCCAGAAACCTGGATAGGTGTGCCCATATAGTCCTCTCAAGTCCAGCTCAATTTGAAGATGTTTTTACTTTCTATAACTCTTCCTATTTCGCTATAATACCCAGTGTTATCCAAGCTTCCAAAACTGTATGTATCCTCTGTCACAGCGCCAGCAAAGCCTGTTTAAGCCTGCCAATATGTGGTCTGGAGGAGCTTAATCACAAGGACTTCAGTACATTGTAGCCCCTGAGCTTCTCTTGGGCCCTGCCCTGCTAGGTTCTTGCAAATCTCTGAAGATCTGGATGGCCCCTCCAGGTAATGGGGTCTGTGTGGATTTGATTAGACCTGTGTTTCTCAACCTTGGGAACTTTAAGATGTGTGGACTTCAACTCCCAGAATTCTGGGAGAATGCTGGGAGTTGAAGTCCACACATCTTAAAGTTCCCAAGGTTGAGAAACACCAGGTTAGACTGTCTTTGGGCACCATTGTGAGTCATGCATATGAGATGGGCGGCCATATCAGGCACCATTGTGAGTCATGCATATGAGATGGGCGGCCATATCAATTAAATACATACATACATACATACATACATACATACATACATACATGTATGTTGTTGTTATATTCTTTAGGGGGTTCGGCTGTTACTGTTACTTTCTTTTGTTGGTTTTTAATCTTACGTTTGCTGCCCAGAGTTGTTGGTTGGCTATATAAATTGCTATAATTAAATAAATAAATTTTTTAAAATGTGAACATCATATGAAAGGGAAGATATTTTTTATGGCAAAACAGAAGTTGCTAGAATACCAGCTGGTGCAATGTAGGAAGGAAGGAAGGAAGGAATCTATCCTTTAACTATCTGCTGGACAGCTAGTCTTTCTCAGGACAATTTCTAGATTTTATTCTCAGCACCTCCAATGAAAAATGATCAGTTAGTGCCAGTCTTTGCTAGAGAGACCCAAGAAATGACAACCAGACAGCTTTCCTTGACCCATAGGTACTTGATAAATACTTGATATTTGTAATCTGCCTCACGAGGTACGCTGCATCGGCCTAACTGACCTGTCTTCCCCTCTCATCTCATCCCAATCTAAACCCTCCATCGGTTTAGCCACATCATTGCATTTGATGAAATGGGCTGCAACTCACAAAAGCTTCTGTCTTTTAATAAAAACTGTTAATCAGAAAAGGTGCTATCAGCAGCCTGACTATTTTTGCTACCAAGGGTTATTTTTTTTTTCCCCATGTCCTTTGGCCCTAAAAGCACAGATGTTATTTCCCCTTCTAACCAGCTTACCACTGTGGGATTCAAGCACCAGAAGTTGAGGCTATGAACGGCCATTTTGTGTTGTGATCTTTTTTTGGAGAGGACTAAGAAACCATCCTTATCCGGAGCATCAGGTGGATTTTCATTCATCCAAACGTAGGTTTGCTGCAGGGCAACTCGGTAATCATCAGCAAACCTAAGGAGAAGCAAACTGAAAATGACTCTGTAGATAAATTCCTGAAATACATTCAATTATGAGGACCGCAACTGGTACACTGGAGAAAAAGAATGGCTGTGGGAGTTTTACTGACCTGTGATTTTCTTTAAAAAGATAGTGGAGGACCATAAATAGACCTTTTAGGACAACCTGAGTTGAAGGACTTATAACTGGAATGGAAACCATCTCTTCTCCCCCCTGGATCTTTTCTTCCTTTTCAAGCACGGCAAGAAAATGTTTCTATGAAAGAGCAAAACATTTATACAGGGACTTTAAATAACCTACATAATTATTACACGGGGGTGGGGCTTTGGTGTTTCCACCACATTTTCTAATTGAGTCCTTGTAAAACTCTGGATGGCGGACAGATGACTTCTCATGTATTTGACCAGACTGATCTTCAACAAAGTTGAAGCAATTTCATTAAAAATAACAAGAATAATGAGCGAAAACCAAGCATCAAACTGTATATTCTGGCATCTAAAATTATCTCTTTTTGATGAAAGTTGCAAAGCATTTATAATACGTTTTGCATGATGGTGATTAAGACCTCTATTTCCATGTTAATAAACTTTAAAATATCCACTGGTTTCACTAATTGGTAGGGATAAGCAGAAAGCTACTAAAAAAAGGTCATCTCTGAATCAAGCTCAACTCCTGTTTTATCAGCACTGTTACAGAAGTGGCTTGCCATTGCCTATTTCTTTTTTTGACTTCCCAATCCAGCCTACAGTGACAGGTTTTCCAAGTGGTGACCATACCCAGGACCGATTACTGTATGCTAATTTTTCTAGAACAGCCAAGTTTGGCTGCCACCTGCTGAAACAAAAGCAGAACTAGCTACTAAACTACAGGTAGTCCTCGCTTAATGACCATTCAATTAACGGCGGTCTGGAGTTACAATGGCCTTGGGAAGAGTGCTTTATGACTCCCGCGGTCATGTGATCATGATTTGTGACCTTTTTTATGACAGTTGTTAAGCGAATCACTGTGGTAGTTAAGCGAATCACGTGGTCATTAAGTGAATTCTGGCAAAAATGTCCATTGGGGAAGCTGGATTCGCTTAATGATCATGTGATTCGCTTAATGACTGTCGTAAAAAAGGTTGTAAAATCAGTTCTGATTCGCTTAACGACCAAAACGCTTCGCAACCTAAATTCCAGTCCCTATTGAGGTTGGAAAGTGAGGACTACCTGTAGTTTTTAATTAACGAATTACTCTGACCGTGGAGCAAAACCCGAACAATGTAGGAACATTGTGTAAAGGTTTGTTTTAGCCAAATAAACCTTAATATGATATTGTTACCTAGCGCTCCAGACAGTGATGGCACCCTCATATTGATTTTCAGGGATCATTAAAAATTCCTACCTGTAAGATGGGAAATGTAGCATTTGTTATTCCCATTTGATGCAGAAATGTCACCATTTGATTTCCACTCCACACTTTACTAGAGGTCTCATAACCTCGCTCGATCAGCTGACTACAGGCTTTCCTTAACCAGCTGTAAAACAACAAGCAATTTTTACAGTTACTTTTGTTAACAGCAGATCTTTAACTCTGGAGTTTACAAACCAACTCGTCTCAACTTTTTGATGGTCTCTTGGACTCATTCTGAAGTGATTTGAGCTGGAAAAAGCTCTGTTTCAAATTCAAAGCACTTCTAAAACGACGGAAATATCCTGTATTGAATCCAAATGGGCATCTGAAATACACATACAAATTCAAAGTGATCCACACGCTCCTATGATCTAAAAAACAGAAGAAGACGACTAATGCACAATATCTTAAACTTCAGTGAGATTTGAAGCACATTTCCACTGCAGAGCGGTAATTTTTGCATAACTCAAACTGTTGTTGAAAGGCACAAGTCTTGTATGGAAAAAAACCCCTAAAAAAACAAGCATGAATAGAGCGACAAATCCAAGGACCCTCTGGGGGAGATGGGTGGCATATTGAATGAATGAATGAATGAAGGAATGAATGGACCCTCAGGGCTTTTAGGTTAAAACAGTCTGAACAGTCATCATCTAAAGGCAAAGCATTCTGAAAGTAAAGGACTTGTAACGTTTTTTTAAAAATATCATTCAAAGCCCTTAAAAGATGCACGTCGCGATAAACAGGAGAGAGAAGGAAGCCTCTCTTTCTGAGCCGCTAAAAGAGCAAAGCAGCTGTGGACCCTCACACATGTGCAGACAGCCAGGAGCAGATTTCAAAACGGCTGCCCAAGCCTTGCAAAAGACTCAGCTGCCCACCGCAAAGCACTTCGGCCAAACAGTTTGTGCAACTCTGCACAATGTGAATTCGTTTTTAGTGCATGCAGGGTGAAGAGGATCCAAGGCCATTAAATTAAAGAGTGTCAAATGCTTTGCACAGGTCTACACGATGCAAGCTCATTTTTAAAACCTGCAGGGTTCTCTACAGGGTTTGGTCAGAAAAGTCAAGATGGCCATCACAGCAGTACAACCAAAGCACCACTTGTGCTGGATGTGCATCACATTAAAAAAATGAGCAGGGCTTTGGACGTGCCATCGCAGCTGTCATCTTGACTTTCCTGACGAGTCCTTGTGGGCATTCCTGGAAACGCAATGCGAAAAAGGGCCGAACTGATCAAATTCAAAAAAAGTATGAGATGTTTTGTACAGCTCTGCAGGACCTGAATGTCAGAAGGATTTGGAAGAAATAACATGGAAAATTTAGATTTCTGAATTGGCAGCTCTGCCACTTGGTCGGAGAACTTCTTTGCTGCTGTCTTTTATATCTGTTCTCCTGCTTTCTGCCTGCTTTCACTATGACTGGGCAGGTTGGCGGGACAATCAACCTCAGTTTTTCTGATAAGGTTAAAGGCTTGGGGCATTCCAGACTTCAGCTTCGTTCTTTTCATCCGGGCAAAAGGGTTTGTGGTTTTTTGTTTTTTTTTTAAACATCCCAAAGAGCCACTATGGGAGAATTCGCCACTGTGGCAGGAAAAAAGCCTTCATTTTTTTCAGGGACAGAAAAAACATGGATCTCAATAGCAGGAAAACAAAAAATGAAGTTTTGGATCTGCACCAAATATTCTTATCTGCAGTTTCCTTAACACTCATATGGAGAAAGAGCCATCTAGATAAGGGTTGTTGAGAAGAGCAGCTTTTAAGTTCTTCCTCCCCACTTCAGATAAAGATGCTGTTCAGAGAAAATGACACCCCCCCCCCCGGCTAGTCTCTTGGTTCTCAAGACCAAATCTGGAATGCCAGCTTCAGACAAAGCAGTTTAGGCAGAAAGCGTCATAACCCTTCTCTGCTCCCCCTTCTCTACAGAATGGGGTCGCCCCTACCACCATCATCACTCAGTGAAACAGAAGAGGGGAGATGTTGTACATCAAAATCCCTGGAAGGAAAGAAAACCCCATGCCTGAACCACTGGCGAGCTGAGGCCTGTCAGTTTAAAGTGGAGCTATCACAAGTATAATGCTGTATCATTCAAACAGGATAAGGCGGATTCCACGGTTTCTGTGCTGACCTCACCCAAGACTGTTATCATCATCATCATCATCAAGACCATTTACAGTTGCCACAAGATATACAGGAAAATGAGGAAATGAAACGGTCTTAATATCATTAAAAATTTTATTAATATAATAACAATATCTCCATTCATTTTCACTACAGATCTTTCACCCTCTGCTAAATGGTCTTCACTTACTTTGTCAGGCTGAGGCATACGGCACGCAAGGGCTCGTGGTCCGCCCGCCTAATGTTGTGGTTCACCATAGTGTCCAGCTCCTCTCGAGCCAATCTGAGCTGCTCTTCCGTCACACTATAGCTGGCTGACTCCCGCGCGGAGTCCTCAATATTATGAGCTTCGTCTAAAATCACCACCTGGTCTTTCAACTTAATTTCCAACTGCAAAAATTAAAACCAACCAACTTAACAATTAGCAAAAGCAGCCTCTTCCATATAGCTTCCTTTTTTCTTTACATTTTCAATGAAACTGCAGTTATGGCCATGTTATAACTCCATAACTCCAGTTATGGCTTCAATACTGCTTAATTTATTTTAGTTTTGCAGTATATTAGTGGGATCATGTTTGCTTTAGCAGCAACAACTCAGTCATTTTTTTCTCAACCTCTCTAGTGAAAAGTTTTTGGTATTGGTACAATTATTGGCCTAAACACAATATTCACCTGTGGCTTATAAAACTGGATCCAAGTGCGCTACTGGAAAGTAATTTTTTACTTGAAAGATATTGCTAAAAGAAAAGATTTCAAAGACATTCTTCTGTTTGCCTTGCCGTAAAGTAAGATTTTACACATGCACACTGTAGCTTTTACGGTACAGAACATACCTTTTTCTTATTCTCTGCCACTCTGTTATTATAGGGTTGCACTCTGAAAAAACTGCTTGTGTTTGGATAAGAACGCTGTATGTGGAGCAGTGCAAATTTTTTATTTTTATGTTATTTAACTTGTCCCCGCCCATCTCCCCAAATGATTTTGTCCTCCTTCCTCTTACAACACTTTGGATCTAACGTAAAGTAAATCTTCCCTTTTGTGAGAATTTCAGGGGAGGTTGGGAAAGGAACAGAAGAGAGAGCAGACATAAGCAGTGCAGAGATGGTGGATGGACGATTTGATGGGTCATCTCCTAAACTAGTGTTCCTCAACCTTGGCAGCTGGAAGATGTGTGGACTTCAACAGCATGGCTGGCTGGGGAATTCTGGGAGTTGAAGTCCACACATCTTCCAACTGCCAAGGTTGAGGAACACTGAGAAACCTGGGACGAAGCATTTCCAACCACTCCAAGAGGCTCTGCCTTAATTGGCTCCCTATAAATGATGGCTGGAAATTACTCTTAGCTCATCCCGGCATTGTGTCGTTCTGGCTTCCTTGGTCTTGCCCAGCTGCGTGGGGCACGCCACTCTTGATGGTGACCACAGGAAGCTGCTTATGCACGCTTTCTGACGTCCACAATCAGTCAACAGAAGATATTCATGCTTACGCTTTCTCTTATTTGAGAGTCCAAAAGGTAGTTGTAAGGACAGAACACAATCTCAGCGTCCACCATTAGCTCCCGAGCGGCAAAGTAGGCACAGGATCGGAGTCTCTTTCCCAGGCTCACCAGATCTTCCAAGTCCCAGGCCCGGTAGTCTTTATGGGCAGACTGTATCAAGAGATGCTCGCTAAGCCTGTGGACTCCGTGATAAAAAGAGCAAGACACGCCCTGGAAGCAGAACAATTAAGAACATTTCAAAAACAACACACCTTCATGTGCATTTTATTTCACGAGGATCAGCTGAGTTCAGGAAGGAAAACTGGAATTTAGATTTTTATTTGCTAGATTCATATCCCACCTGTTTTGGATAGGAGTTCAAAACGGTATACATGGTGCTCCCTTTTCCTACTTTTCCCCACCGCCTACCCTGTGAGGTGGGCTGGGCTGAGAGAGAGTGACTGGCCCAACGTCAGTCAGCGCATTCCATAGCTAAGATTAAACTAGAATCTGGGTCTCCCTGCTCCTAGTCTAATACCTTAACCATTATACCATACTGGGTCATTCTGAAATTCAAAATATTGGCCCACTTCAATTGCAACAAACAATAGTTTCCATTTTATGGATAAGTCTATATAAGTGTGATGTATGTATGTATAAATAAATAAATGTCACAATACAAAAGGTTCTCCTAACTCCTGCTGCCTTAACCGTGGGTTGCTTCAAATCTGGTTTGTTCCCTAATGCAGCTGAATCCAACCCATTTCCCTTGGTCGAGACATAATAGAATTGCAACTCGCTCAAAAGCAAATGTTTCTACCTGCCTCTTTAGAGCGGTGTTTCTCAACCTCAGCAACTTGATGATGGGTGGACTTCAAGTCCCAGACTTTCCCAGCCAGCATGCTGGTTGGGGGATTCTGGGAGCTGAAGTCCACCCATCTTCAAGTTGCTGAGGTCGAAAAACACTGCTTTAGAGAATTAGCCTCCCACCACAAGTTAGGCACGTGATGCTAGTTAACATCCTAAACATCCAAGACCATTTTCAAGCCAGAATTTCACTGTACGTTCTGGAGAAAGAGAATCCTCTTCAGTAATTTCCACAGCAGAACTTGGCAAATTCGCTTCCTGCAGTCTAGTTCGTCCTAATCTTGCTCATCCTGTTTTCTTTAGATGCTCTCCATCTCGACTTTGTTTTAATACACATTGCTGAATGTTTGTGATTTTCACAAATATTCGACACTGCACATTAAAACAAAGTCGAGGCAGAAAGTGTCTGGAGGACTGTCAGGGGAAGAGCAGGGTGTTGAGGAACAACTACAGGCTGCCTTATAAGCCCTCCTTATAATATATGCCTCCTTATAAGCACAGCAGAGTTACTGATGAAAGTTTATCAGAGTTGCTGATAAAAGCTGCAACCTTGAAACAGGTGAGGGAGGAGAACAGAGGCGACGTGCCTGTTTTGGAAGCTCTGCAGTGGCGACACTTTATTACAAAGGAGGTTTGTTTTTAGCATATCTTAATTAATTCATATTTATCTATTTTAATTCATGTCTCTTCTATTTTTACTGTGAACCGCCCAGTGTCACTCCACAGGGAGATGGGCGGTGACAAATTTGAAATATAAATAAATAAATAAATGAAAATCAAAGAATTTAAAGTAAATTAATGTGGACGTTTATATTTTTAACTGTTTTTGAGCTTTGTTTTTAATGGTGAGCCCTCTGGGGGAGATGGGTGGTGTATAAATTTAATAAATAAACAAACAAACAAACAGAGAAAGCAGCCAGTTAAAAGAAAGTGTTTTTCTTCACAGGGACTGCGGGGTCTAGAGCAGTGTTTCTCAACCTTAGCCACTTGAAGATGTGTGGACTTCAACTCCCAGAATTCCCCAGCCAGCCTTGCCAGCCCCAGTTGAACTCCACACATCTTCAAGTGGCCAAGGTTGAGAAACACTGGTCTGGAGGAAAACGAAGAGGCACAGAACAACACAAGAACACCCAAGCCAAGCCCAACATTGGGAAGATACAAGTGTTTTACATGCTGCCTATTAATAAAGAAGAAGAAAAAAAATAGAAAAAGTCCCAGACAGAGTATTTAAAGACAGACCAGGAACTGTAAGAGTAAAACACTGTTGTATACTTTTAATAGCAATAGTAGCAATAATAGCAATAGTAATGGTATACTAGTACTAGTAACAGTATAATATAGCATAGAAGTAGAAGTAATAGTATAGAGCAGTAATGGTGAACTTTTGGGGCTCGGCGTGTCAAAAATTCAGAAAATGCCTAATGACTCTGCTGGCACGTCACCCCCACCCCCGAACAAAAGAGGAACAATTCTTTACATATTCATTTATTTAAAAAAATACAGTCCAGTCATGTGTGGTGCTGTGTATTATATTAAAAAAGTCAAATAATTACAAAAATGAAATACGAGTAAAACAAACTCAGTTTCTTTGGCAACTCAGACAGGGAGAATAGTTGTTGTGGGGTGTTGGTGAACACTGGTGTGCCACCCAAAACATCATGGTGTGTCACATCTGACACGTGTGTCATAGGTTCGCCATCACTGCTATAGAGTGTAGTATAGTAATAGTAGTATAATACAGTATAGAGAAAATTGTATAATACCAGCAGTAATAGAAATAGTGTAGGATAAGGTAATAGCCATAGGAAGAACTTGCACATACATGTTTGTACATTTCACGTTTGTATCATGAGTAGTTTTTTCCAGAATAAAACATCTCCCCGGCCCTTATAGGGAGGCGTAAAAATCCAAAGTCTAGGGCCCAGTGATTTTGGTGGATCTTTTGAGTCTGAGTTAATCAAACTGGGTATAGTTTAAAAAGAACTTGTGACACCGTCCCTTTTTTGTCAAGCCCTCTAAGGCTCTTTTGACCAAGGCAAAAGCTGTTCTGTGCTAAGCCGGCTACAGCTTAAGCGGAAGGGAGCTTTGGCAGCCCAAGCGTTAGCCACAAACTGTCAGCCATCCGTTTATCAAACTAAAGTTTGCAATATGGTCTTAGGGTAAAGCGAAACCATGCTCAGTGACAGTGCTAATTGGTCCCTGTTATCACATCCCTTGACTTGGAGGGTTTGAAGGAGGGAGGGAGGGCAACCCGGAAGATTTAACACCTTGGTCACCCTTGTCAAGTTCCAAAGTCAGCTGAGAACATGTGGAGGAAAAGGCAAAAGGACGCTGCCAACACTGTTGGCTTGTCTGACTCCCCGTGCTTCCGAGAGCCATAGAGCTCATAACGACAAGGCTTCCTGCAGCTTTGAATCATATCTCCACCTGGTGTAGAGGAGAAAGTTGAGTGGGGAGAGAATATGGTTTGTTTTCCTGCTGTGCTACAAAACCCATGGCCTTATTTGAAACCGTGGCTACATGGAAATCCAGAAGGGGAAACCAAGGGGGTGGGTCAAATGACCCAATGTGGATCCCAACACTGCAATATAGGCTCCGCCTCTTGCATTGTGACTTCACGCCCAAGAGGCATATGACATCATGGTGCACATTTCATCATTCTTATTGAAACATAGTTTGTACTGGACATCCTGCTTGGCTAGTCCATCATAGGATTGTTACATAGGCTAAGATAACTAGGCATGGGTAAAATAATTTCAATAACCTGACTTTTGTCAATCAAAAATTGGCTCTTCAGATCTCATCTCTCTCACAGATCACCAGGTAGAAGGACAATGCTGATTCACTCTACAGGGCTTAGTGAACTAAATAAAGAGTGAGCAACTTTTTCAGGGACTGAACATGATTGCACTTCATGGTGAAGATAATCCTCCATTTTTTTTCAGAGTCTGAAATCTCATAAAACAATCCATTCATTTCAAACTTGCCATTCTCAATTAAAATCTTATAAGATTTTATGTCAGAACATCGAGAATCTTGCACGATTTTGGTCATTTAAAATAGACTTTAGAGGCAAAAATTTTTAGCAAATTTTAGATTTTGGCTATCTAGAGGTGTTGTGGGCACCACATTGCCAACCCAATTTCAACATTTCATTCTTTGCTTTCCAAATTGAACACACAGATCAATTTCCATAATAACATCAATTCTTCAGAACACTCCATCTTCTTCTACCCAACTTAGCCTACCAGGAAGACTAGGACTAAGGAATAGAGATTATAAAATTCTACCTTAATAAGGCCAAGAAAATTACACTGTAATATCTTTGCTGCTGCTTCATGTGAACAAGTGAAGATGCCAGGAAGCAATTAACCAAGAAGCTTCAAATAAGCCAGGAGTCCATTTAAAATAAGGTGGCATGTACATCAAAGTTTATTAATCCAGGATTGGATTATCCAAATGTGTTAAGGGCCTATCCCCAAATAACCCAGCTGTTTTCATGGTTCAAAAGTGATAAACATAAATCGCCTAAAAAAATAAATGCTATTGAATTCTGGCCAGAGAGAGACTTATTTTCACAAATTTAGAGAACTGCAGTTTTAAAAGTGCTCTAGAAGTGATAATACATTTATTGTTGTACTGGATATGCAGAAACAACTCAGTTGTCCTTGGTTTTGTCAAAAACTGTGGCTGTGGAATTTCTTATTTCAGGGAAACTGGCTGTTTCCTTTTTGGCTTTGGGTATCTGGCTAAAGAATCTTCTGTTTTGCAAAACTTTGAGGTTAGTCTACTCTAACCTTTTTTGCCTCTGGGGTGGAACTGCATTTTCATTAACAGCGGCTTGTTCTTTTGAATATATTACTAATTTAACACTCTACCAAAAGCCTCTGGGAATGAAAAGTAAACTTATAATCCAAAATGAATGAAAGCTAAGCATGGCATATGAAGATGTCATGCACATGTCTGTAACATGTCTGTGTGCTCCCATGGGCTGCAACAGCCATTTCTCCAAACGAATTTACAATTACTTAAGCTCTGATTTTTATTTTTCTAACAAGTTTGGCCGTGATCTCTGGACTACGGATATTATTTTGTTTATCCGGCAAAAGTTTATCTAGCTTCTGCACTATATAATTTACTAAAGGATGCTACTGATAAAAAACAGACAGAACTTTCAGTATTGCTGAGCAAGGAAATGAAAATTTACCATTGGCCCCCCCCTCAACTTAAGGGCAGATCTTGAGAACGGAACTTGTTCTTAAACTGGGGATTACCTGTACCTATCATCTACCTATTTATTTATTTCCTGGAAACTACACAGATATACAAGTAGTCCCCAGTTAATGATACTGTATCAATAGTATTGCAGAATGAACTCAAACCATTGGGTATTTAACTTGAATTTTGCTACAATAGGCTCCCTTCTTAACTATGGGTTGTCCTTAAACTGGGCATTCTTAACCCAGGGCTACCTGTATCCAGGAAATCACCAGGAGTCAAGCATGACAAGAGGGACTTGCCCATTTACCTTAAATTAGCAAAGAATAACAGATCGCCATCTTAAAAACAACCAAATGTTAAAGTGATAATAATGAAAGAAATAACTCACATTTTTTGCTTCTAGCAGCTCTACACATTTTTCATTCTTGTTGCTGCCTCGGGAGACTCTTGGATTGACACAAGAATGGTCCCTACTCGAAAGAATGGTCATGCGAACGCTTGAGTAGGCCGTCCTCTGCAGCTCCTTAACAATCTGAGCTATTTGCTTGTGAGTTCGGGTTCCAAAAAATATTTTGGGGATCAGTGCCTTCCCTCCATTTTCCTTCTTTGCATCAGCAGTATCTTTGACAGTTTGCTCAAGGGAGGAACAGGAACACTTAGTGCAGGGACTGGAAGGCTGTAACTATGGGAAAGAAATTCCATTAAAGCTATTAACACGGCAAATTTTTCTCCTTCTAGAAAAGTTCCTTTCTATCCAACTGCAAATTTTCAAAGAGGAACTAAAATCTCAATTAAGCATTCAGTTGAAAAATAATAGCAATCATATGAAGATACTGTACCATCTGTTCTCAATTACAACCTCTCACTTTCTTCCCTTTTAATTCTGGTAAAGAAAACATCACTTGGGAAAATAAATTAATTCTCTTTTATCATTGCCTGATAACCCACATTTCTTATTGAACTGACTACCCGTTTCAGGCACAACAGAAACTACAAGCAAAATAGCACTTCACACTAGCTAATGCATCTTAAGGTGTTTTTGTTGCAAACTCAGAATTACATTCTACATTTCACATTCATTCCATTTAGAATCAAGTAACATGAACAACAGACTAAGTAACATTGAAGTAAATGCAGCTAAAAATGCTACATTAGTCTGAATGTAAGAAACACACTTCATTATGTTCAGAACAGTGAATTTACAGACCAGCGAAGTATCATTTTTCAACTGCAGTAACAATGCATATTGTCTGAGATCTTCACTTTTTTTTAACAAGCAAAACTAAATTACCAAAGCGGAAATGGGCCAGAGAGTTATGGCTGAAATAGCTCAGGAAATGTTGACTGATCGTAATAAAATTAATCTAAGCACATTTTCCTAGGCATAAAACCTACTGAATGCAGAGTCCTGAACAGAGGATTGCAATGTTAAAGGCTTATTTCAAAGGACACCCAAAGCTTATAAATGACAGCGTTACGGCAACTTCTTGAAGTATTTAATTCTGATTTTGTCTGGAGACTCCAATTAACTTGCTCAATGAATTACATAAAACCAATGACATCCACCATGCAGAAAGCCACTTCCGATTGACATGTACGATGTTCTGCTTTCTTTGTGCATTGCAACCTTTTTCTTTCTTTCTTTCCCATCATGCCATCAACTGACTGATTTTCTTAAAAGGTTCCTTGTGATTATGGTCCACTGGTGGATGATCTAATCACTAGGTAACTCTTGGCTGCCATCTAGTAGTTGTTCAGATTTGGACAACCAAGATGCAGCCACTGCAGAGGTGCAAGAGCATTTTCAATAGCATTTTCAGTTATGTCTGTCAAGCCAGGGACAGGTTGGCTAATTTCAGGGCTTCTTGCCCTCTGGGTCCACCCTGGTTGACCAACCCATTTAAAAAAGGAGGAGGAAAAAGCCAGGGCTGGTCTCCATCACAGGGGACTGGATGCAAGGGGCAGTCCCAGCAGCCCTACTGGACCAATTGGGAATGAGCAGTTTGTTTTCTCTGACCATGTCACTTCAAGCCGTCTCCTCCTCCTCTCCCATCTTGAGTCTTGAACTGGGAGAAGAGGGAAAACACCACTTCCAGAATGGAGCACCCTAAGCTATCTTCACGCTGCTTCAACTTCAGGTAGACCATGAGATACAGACGATGACATGCGAGTATATCCTCTGGAAACAGTGGGGTATCTTTGCACCAACTGTGTAGGTGTAGTCTTGGTTAATTTAACTGCATTCAGATCACCAGGGCCAGATAAATTACAATATAGAGTACTGAAGGAAGTAATGGAGGCGATTGCAGAATTGCTAACTGTAGCCTCTGAAAACTCCAGAAGACTGGAAGAGAGCAAATGTTCCTTTCTTCAAAGATGAAATGGAGGACAACTCAGGAAATTATAGACCTGTCCACTTGACTTCTATACTGGGAAAGAACATCAAACAGATAATAAAACTGCATAGTTGTGAGTGCCTGGATAGGAATGCAACATTTAAGAAGAGCCAGCATGGATTTGTCACAAACAAGGCATGCCAGACTAACATTTTGACAGAGTTACTAACTTCATAGATCAGGAGACAGCCATGAACACAATGTATCCTGACCTCAACAAAGATTCAATGAAGTTCCTCATATTTAATATTTAATTGGTAAAAATATTCTCATACTGTAACTAATAAAATGGTAAAGCAATGAGCTAGATGATACAACTGTTTGATGGATTTATAACTGGCTAGAGGACCTCACCCAGAGAGACTCATAAACAGCTCTATTCTGAGTCTTGTGCTACTGAACATTTTTTATTAATGACCTGGATGAAGGAATTGAAGAGATTATCAAATTTGCAAGTGACACAAAATGAGGAAGAGTGGCGAACCATTTAGAAGAGAAAGAGAAGATTCAAAAATCTAGACAGACTTGAGGAGCGTGCCAAAATGAACAGGATGAAATTTAACAAGGAAAAAAATCTGAAAATGAAAAGCACAACTACCGGATGGGGGGAGATGTGCCATGGCAACTGTACATGTGAAAAGGATCTGAGTGTTCTAATAGATTGCAAGTTGAACATAAGCTAACAGTGTGATGAAGCTGCTAAAAAGGCAAACGTTGTTTTGGAACTTGTTAACAGGAACATAACATCCAGATCATGGGAAGTAATTGTCTTACTCCACTATGCTCTGATCAGGCCCTGTTTGGAGTCCTGTGTCCAGTTCTGGGCACCATGCTCTAAAATGAGATTGATAAACATGAGCAAGTTAAGAGGAAAACTATCATGATGGTGTGGAAACTAGAAACCAAGCATTATGAGATATAGTTAAAGGAATTGAGTATGTTTAGCCTGCAGAAGACTGGGAGAAATAGTAACAGTCTTCAGATATCTAAAGGCTGTCACAGAGAAGAGGAAGTAGATTTGCATTGTACTGCCCTGGAAGAAACCAATGGGTTGAAACTGCAGGGGGGTAGATTCAGGTTAGATATTATGAGCAGTTAAGGAGCAATTTCCTGACAGTTAAGAACTGTCAACCAGTGGAATATGTTATTTCATGACATGGTATGTTCCCTTCACTAGAGGTCTTCAAAGAGAGGGTCAATAGCCATCTACCAGAAATGCTGTAGCAGATTTTATGTATTTATTTTTTATTTTTCAAATTTTTCAAATTCTGTACCAAGCAAGTTAGAATAGACCCATTCTGATGAAGCGAGCTGCAGCTGATGAAAGCTTATGCCTTATAATAACATTTTTTAATATTCAGTTGGAATCTGTCAGTGAGATGGGCAATGATAAATTTGAAAAATAAATAAAAAATAAATACATAAAATGTGTTAGTCGGAAAAGGTGCTACCAGACTCCTCCTGATTTTTTGCTACCATAGACTATAATGTCTCTCTCCTCCTACAACATCTTCCCCTTCTATGATTCTTTGATAAGAGACTGTTGGAGACGCCATGGTTAGCTTTGAGATAGGATGACTGACTAAGGCAACTGACATCTCCTCAGTCAATCAATGGTGGGTATAACACTCTTCAACTACTTGAAAGGACTTCACACCAAAAATGCTGGTGTTGTCTGTGATAACCGTCCTAAGTTAGAAAAAGACAGATTCCAACTGAATATTAAGAAAAATTCCCTAATAATAAGAATAGTTTGACTGTGGAACCAGTGACCCAGAGAGGTGGTGGGCCCTTTGTTGAAATGTCATAAAGCAGAAGCTGGACAGCCATCTGTCAAGTCTTTTTTAATTTGGATCCCTGCCCTGAGCTGGGGGTTGAACTCAAAGGTCTAAATAGCCCCTTCCGTCTCCGGGATTCTAGTGTTCACTCTGATCTGTGATCCCTGCTAGGCTAATAATAACAGTGATAATGAGAGGGATGCTACAACCGGACATCATCTTCCTGGCGTAAAAAATGTCACACTGACAAGGAGAACCAGACACAGTGTTCTTGTCAGATTTTCCCCCCTCCTCTTAATTGTAATCAGTAAGATTATCCCCCGTAAGCAAATGCTAAGTCACTGTGCGCGTTATGCTACAATAGTCAGGATCAACTATCTCTTGGCCTTTGCTCTATGGAAAAGCAGGTTCAAATTACCCACAGTCCCACTCAAGCTTGTCTACCATTAAATATTACAATGCGGGATAGGATGGAAGTAAATGCAACCCTTCAGGAGCTGCCAGTCAATGGGATAAAAGGCTGGCTGACGTGCCAAATAAACAGGCCGTCAATGTGGATAAGGTTACTGGCCGCGCTAGAATTGTTACATTCCTCTCTCAGGTTGCCAGAAACGGCAGATTTCATTATGTTGTGCTGCCACATTAAATAGCTGCTTCCAAATACCCGTCCTTCTCGATATTGAATAATTACTTATTCACCCAAAGGATAAAAGGAAGAGTTATGAATGGGCCTCTTGTCAGCCGTAAAGGAGGAAACAGCTGACGGATGGTGTCCATTACATATGCAGCTCTCTTGGCCTCTGCTCTATAGTCCAGCAGAAAAACTGGAACTCAAACTATGCCGCGTGATATTACAGTCAACGCTCTAGATGGCTTTTCAGAAAAGAGGGAGGAAAAGTGCATCCACGTGCACGTGGCCGTGCACACGCGCACACAAACTTAGGATAAAGTGCCCTTTGATGGAACACCTGGTAGGTGTATTTGACCCAACGAGGAACACTAGAGAAGTGTGACTAGTCAGCAACTAGTCTATAGGGCAGGTGGTTTGAGGACATAATGGAGTAACAGAGGAGTGGGCTCCACCTCAAAATAGAAAGTCCCACTGCCCCTCCCCAAAGCCAACACCCACCCCATGGTGTCATCTCCATCTCAACAACCGAGAACAAATTTGACCTCTGTGGTTTTTACCTCACAAATCCTATTTATGAAAAGTCAATCAAATATAAGCATCAAAGAACTTTAAAGATCAAACACATCAATGTTTAATATGGCAGAAACATTCACAGACCATAGCCCATTTTATCAGATGTGTGTTTTGGGGGCAACGGGTTCATCTTTTTATTTCTGGTATCCTCTGCTCAATTCCCTTGGAGTTGACTCAAGGGAGAATAGATGGTTTTGTAATCCAAGACAAGACAACCGAAACATGTAATTGACTTTTGGTAAAAATATTGATGTAAGTTTTATGGGGGGGTGGGGAGAATTAAATGTAACTGACAGTGAGAATT